ATTAGGGCCATCCCCTCCATAGACAACCACAATGACTCCAATGTCTCATCACGCCAAAAATGTGGGTGACCCCCCCTCCATCACCATCTCTGCCACCCTCTCGATCATGATCTTCGCCATCCCCTCTGTCTCCCCATCGTCTGCCGGCTAAATCTCCTCTAAGCGCCGCTACTGTATCCTGAAGGTCGACAACGGAAGACTGTAGTATTCCAACATCATGGGATAGATCGTCAACCCTCCCTATCAACTCTCGTCCCATATCGTCGACCCTCCCTGTCAGATAGTCGACCTTCCCTGCCAGATCGTCGACCCTCCCTGTCAACTCTCGTCCCAGATCATCGACCCTTTCCGTCAAATCTCGTCGTAGCGCGCCAACCTCTTCCGCTATAAATCCAGTCAAACGGGCATACAAATCATCACTGTGCCCCGGAGACACACGGAGGAGGTGTCTGGACAGAGGTGAAGCCAATGGCGGCGACGATGCTAGCGACAGTGATGCCCTCGACGGAGGTGATACCAATGGTGGGGACGATACTCTCGGCGGAGGTGATGCCAATGGTGGCGGCGATACCCTCGGCGGAGGTGATCGTTGATCAGTTGAACCGCCCTCCTACATCAATAAAATTAAAAATTATTCAATAAATTTATACGTCGACGATATTCAATAAATTATATTTCATTCACATAGCCAATCTCGGTCCAAGCTCGGATCAGACATCTCCTCGTCTAGGGTGTTCGGAACGCCTAAATCCCGCACAAGACCCCGAGTCTCTTCTTCCATCGACGGCGTCAACTCAGGTATGACTTCAAGTTGACATATTGGCATTTCAACTACTTAATGATCATGTAAACAAAATTTTAAACTACGTATAATATAAATCACAAATGCATAATACTTACCTGAGGATCGTCGAGGAGGGCCGATAACTGCTTCCCAGTGGGACATCCCTCCGCTCGCGATGATCTCCAATGATGCATCCAAGGGCAGCGTGTCTCCCCTCGCTATGCAAAGCGGGCTCCCAGTACAGGAACTGTCTCATACACCCAAATCTGTAACACATACACTTATTAAGCATCAATGTAATACACTAAAACTTTAATTTTGATTATATTAAACATTTACCTCACTGCTAAGGGCAATACATATGTATCGTATTTACGCATCGACCCCTTGAGCCTCGAGTGCGATATGGTGAATACATGTACGGTGTCTTCGTAGCATCTCTGGCCCCATGGATAGTTGTTGAACGCATCAATACCGTCAACAACTTGCAAATGAAAAATGTCGATGGCAGTTTTCTTGTGATGACACCTCATCACACTCTCGAGGATGTAGACCAGCCCAAGTTTCAATCTATCTAGCATATGGTCGCACCCCCTGATCGCGTCCATCAAGTTGGGTAGAAGCACCGACCCATGTCCCTGGAAGTACATCTCGTACAGCCTATTGCTTCTCTCCATGGCTGCATCGTCGCCCGTAATCCTCAGTCTAGTGATCAATGTAAACTCAAACATCGAGAAACTGACGACCTTGCCCCCGAGGTCGAACTGGAGGGAATCGCCGTCGACTAACCTCAGAAGTCGACATAGAAGTGCATCAATTATCTGTCCTGAGTACTGCACCTCTCGCAACTGGTACAGTGGCCACAAGAAGAACTGTCTTAGCATATCTCCGTGCTGATCATCGAGCAGCTCCAACACAGCAGTAAAACTCTCAAAGCTACTGTTCCAAGTAGCTTTTCCCGCCATCCGTCTCAACTCTGCATCTAAATGATACTCCATCCTGCAAAAATTCAAATGTTATAGCATTGAACAAGAGATAACAAAAGAAAGCATAATCTCTCAAAATCAAGGGAACCAACTCTAACTACCATACAATCACAAATATTACATTTGAAAAATATATTTACAAAAAACAACAAATCAAATTAAATGTATTATCAAAAAAATTAAAGAATATAAATATTATTTAAATAAATTGAAAAAAAATCAAAGATTTTCATAAAAGAACAATAAAAGGAACAAAACAAATTGTTAATTTCGAACAATATTATGTATTCAATTATTAAATTATATAAAAAAAGGTAATTATAAAAATTAAATAATTAAATAAAATAATTATTATTTGAAAAATATATTTACAAACAAAAAATTTCAAATTAAATACATTTTTGAAAAATGTAAAGACTATTTATATTATTTAAATAAATTTGAAAAAATAAATTAAAGATTATTTCATAAAAAAAAAAAGGAACAACACAAAATTGTTAATTTTAGAATATTTCAATTATTAAATTATATAAAAGACAAATATAAAAACTAAATAAATAATTACTTTACATTTTCAAAAAATGTAAAGATTATTTATATTATTTAAATAAATTTGAAAAAATAAATTAAAGATTATTTCATAAAAAAAAAAGAACAACAAAAAATTGTTAATTTTCGAATATTTCAATTATTAAATTATATAAAAGACAAATATAAAAATTAAATAAATAATTACCTTACATTTTCAAAAAATGTAAAGACTATTTATGTTATTTAAATAAATTTGAAAAAATAAATTAAAGATTATTTCATAAAAACAAAAAAAAATAAGGAACAACACTAAATTGTTAATTTTCGAATATTTCAATTATTAAATTATATAAAAGATAAATATAAAAATTAAATAAATAATTACTTTACCTTTTTTTAAAATGTAAAGACTATTCATATTATTTAAATAATTTTGAAAAAAATAAATTAAATATAATTTAATAAAAAAAATGGAACAACACAAAATCGTTAATTTTAGAATATTTTAATTATTAAATTATATAAAAAACAATTATAAAAATTAATGAATAATTAATTTACATTTTCAAAAAATGTCACTATTTATATTATTTAAATAAATTTGAAAAAATAAATTAAAGATTATTTCATAAAAAAAAAGATCAACATTGTTAATTTTACAATATTTCAATTATTATATTATATTGACAATGATAAGAATTAAATAAATAAATAACATAATTACTATTTAACCAAAAAAATTTAATTAATTACAAAAATTATAAAAAAATAAAAATTAAATATATATATATTATACAAAATAAAGCAGACTGTTAAACAGTCTGGGCCAACTGTTAACAGTCGGGTTAACTGTCGGTTAAGCCGAAAATCGTCATTGTCGACGACAGAGCTCCAAAAATTGCAAAAAATCCACATTTTTCAAACTCCTAGCATGCCCACAATCTAACTACTCATGCCCATGGATCTAATTAAACCGAATAATGTAAGGAAAATGCTAAATTTATTTATTCAATAAATTTTCTACTGAAACAAAAAGACATCATGAAAACTAACCGATTATTTTATTTTCGGTGTAGATGAAGGTCGTTGACTGCGACGTTGGTGTAGTTGCCGGTGGTTGATCGGTCAAATTTCTAGCGACTGTGCGTCGATTTCTTTTCTGTCAGTCGGTTAGATAGAATTTTTCAAACAGTTTGAAGGGTAAAATCGCCTTTTACCGTGAAGTTTTTTTTTTTAACTTAATTTATTTTTTCTTTAATTCATTTAATGGGTCAAAGGCCAATGTCAAATTTTCCTACAGTGGAAGAGCCATTTTTGTGTGTTTTCTCGTTCCACTACCCAAATTTCATTATGCTTTTTGTAAGTGAAAATGGTCAAGTTAATTATTTGAATACACACCAAACTTTAGACGGAGTCATGTTTCACTAATTGTATTTTAACTTGCATTACATTACTCACTGAACTTTATGAAATTGCACTCCGTTACTTACCGAGCAACTTCCGTTACTTCATAGTCTACGTGGATAACGAAATATACATGTAGCCAATTAAATATCTCCAATTCCGAACTCAAATGCCAACCCATTAAATCCCAAAACGCCTCAATTGAAATCGTGAGGATGAGATCCTTATTTCGCAAACACAGAGGTGACAGACCTCCATTACTCAACCGCTTCACTTCTGCAAGAACTGCTGGAGTTACTGGACGGGCGGCGGCTCTAGGAAGATCACTAGCCACATCTCCTCCTCCTCCACCTCTTCGTCCCGAAACAACCACCCAATACACTTAGCGCCTCCTCCACTGCCTCCACGACGATCGTGTCTGGACCATTAGCATGCACTTCTACTACAGCTGTAATCACTAAATCGTTTCCACTGAAGGCATAAATTTAAGGTGGCCGGTTTCAAAACTTATTGTACTGAATCAAGTGGAGGGCAATTCACTGATATGCTCAATGGTCTGAGCCCAACTTGTTCAAAAATGCAGTCAAGAGAAATGGTTGGTGAACAAGATCCGTGTTCAGGTCATAATATGGACCTCAGTTGATGGTAATGGAGGTAGACCATCTTTGACATTCAAGTGGTGACCAAGCAAATTGATCTTGAAATGGGAGTGCGTGCAAGATACACAAAATCAAATTTGGTGATTGAAGAAATGGGATTTTGTGTGAAGTGGCGAAAAGGGAAGAATTACAAATTACAAAACCACAAAGAAGACAAAAAACTGAAGATATTTATATAAAAAGCGAACCCAAAATTGCATAATTTCAGAACAGTTTTTAAACAAAATTAAAGAACCCTTGAAGTCAAAATTGAAGCAAGAAAACCCCAGAAATTCGAACAGATTTCTGATAGGAAGAAGACAAAAGAAGTGGATGCTAAATTGCTAATGGTGCAGACTTGTGGAGGCGGTGGAGGAGGGCGCTGGGCGTTTTGGGCCGTTTCATCTCACGCTTGCACTTTAGGCGTGTTTGGGAATAAATGAGCTGGCATTGGATTTCTGAATTGGAGAGATTTAATTGGCCACATGTATATTTCGTTATCCACGTAGGCAATGGTTAGTAACCGAAGTTGCTTGATGAGTAACGAAGTGCAATTTCATAAAATTCAGTAAATAATGTGATGCAAGTTATAGTACAATAAGTGAAACATGACCTCACTCAAACTTCAGTGTGTATTGAATCAATTAACTCGAAAATGGTCCAAATTCCAAATAAACCCAAATCTCTTTCCTCATCCTCCCCGGATTTCTGCAGACAGTGAGCCATTGGATCCAATTGGAAAAAAACAAACACCATAGCCGATTTCTTTCTGACTAAATCCAAACCAAAGACTGCCGCCGCCGACGAGCGGATATATTTCCAGACGTCGTCAAGGCTCCTTCCAGCATTGGAGGACCGAGGTAAAAGGGGTTTTTTTTTTTTTCGCTGTAGTTTCAATAGTAATTACAATGTTTATTTGTTCTTTAAGCTTTTTTTTTTTTTTTTGGGGGGGGGGGATTTTTTTTTTTTAATTTTATTTTTTATCTTTTGGTTTTTTTTTTTCCGAAATTGGGGGGGGGTATTTTATTTTATGAATTTTAATTTTAATCTTTTGGTTTTCTTTTATCAGAAATTTGATTTGATTTTACAATGTTGCTGAAATCTGGAATTTAACCATGGATAATTGACATTTTTCCCAACAATTGAATCTGAATCACGATTTTTACTTGCAGTATTTTGAATTAATTGCTGAATATAATCTATTGACTTTTTTTTATCATATATGATTTTTTTTCTTACATTGACTTTTAAGAGCTTTGCCAAAGCTGGAAAGATGCATGTATCTCTTTTGTGCGTCATATACTCGATGAAATGCTTAGCTGATTATTTAACTATAATTTATGCCAAAGCTGGAAAGATGTGAATATTTCTTTTGGTGCGTCATATACTTGATGAAGTGCTTTAGCTGATTATTTAACTATAATTTATGCCAAAGCTGGAAAGATGTGAATATTTCTTTTGGTGCGTCATATACTTGATGAAGTGCTTTAGCTGATTATTTAGCTATACTATAGGTTTAATAATGTTATTCATTAATAATTATTACTCATTAAGTTTTAGATTCTTCAGGTAGATAATCTAAATTGACTTCTGGATCAAGACCATGTTTCGATGGCATCATGTTGAATCGTGCTTCAGATGGGCAAGTTTTGGTAGTAGACTGTATAGTTCCAGAGAGTTATTGCAAGATTCGTCTGATGTAACCAAAAAGATCTGTAAAATTATGATGTCCTGCCCAAAGTTAGGCCTGGATACTATGCTCGACCAGAGCGGCATCCGGATTTCTACAGATGTAGTCGAAAAAGTCCTTGAAAAATTTGAGAATGCTGGAATGCTGGCGCACAGATTCTTTGAATGGTCTGGCAAGCAACGAAACTACGAGCACAGTGTTAGAGCTTATCATATTATGATTGGGTCTTTAGCGAAGATAAGGCAGTATCAGATAATGTGGGATCTTGTGAATGGCATGAAAAGCAAGCAAATGCTGAATATTGAAACGTTCTGTATAATTATGAGGAAGTATGCCAGGGCCCAAAAAGTGGATGAAGCGGTGTATACATTTAACGTGATGAATAAGTATGACATGCCTCCTAATTTGGCAGCCTTTAATGGGTTGTTGAGTGCTTTGTGCAAGTCTAAGAACGTTAGGAAAGCGCAAGAGATTTTTGATAAAATGAAGGATCAGTTTATTCCTGATTTGAAAAGTTATAGCATTTTGATTGAAGGGTGGGGAAGGGCTCCTAATTTACCCAAAGCAAGAGAAATTTTTAGAGAAATGGTTTGTGCAGGTCGTAATCCTGATATTGTGACATATGGTATCATGGTTGACATTCTTTGCAAGGCTGGAAAGACTGATGAAGCAGTTAAAGTTATCAAGGAGATGGAGCTTGGTGGATGTAGGCCGACGTGTTATATTTATAGTGTTTTGGTCCATACATATGGGATTGAGAATCGGATAGAAGATGCTGTTGATACATTCCTTGAAATGGAAAGAAATGGAGTGAATGCTGATGTGGCAGTGTATAATGCATTAATCAGTGCTTTCTGCAAAGTAAATAAATTTCAAAATGCCTATAGGGTTCTGAATGAGATGGATAACAAGGGGGTGAGACCTAATTCGAGGACTTGTAATATTCTTCTTAATGCCTTGATTGGTTGTGAGGAAACCGACGAAGCCTTTATCATGTTCCGCAGAATGGTCAAAGTTTGTGAGCCAGATGCAGACACATATACTATGATGATAAAGATGTTCTGTGAGAAGGATGAACTTGAGATGGCCTTCAAGGTGTGGAAGTATATGAAAAAGAAGCAGTTTGCTCCTAGTATGCACACTTTCTCTGCTCTTATTAATGGACTATGCAACAAGGCCGATGTTTCCAGGGCTTGTGTTTTAATGGAAGAAATGATAGAAAAAGGAATTCACCCAGGAAGACATACATTTGGAAAGTTGAGACAGTTGCTTTTGAAGGAAGGGAGAGAAGATGTACTTGAATTTCTACAGGAAAAGATGAACCTTTTGGTCAAGGAACCTTTATGGGATTCAGAAATATGAGTTTAATGACTAGAATAAAATAAACAGAGCATTTGAATTCAATGAGGCATCAATGTTCCATGTAGGTAAAAGTGTAGTTTTAAACAAGCACCAATGCAACTATGCTGTTGGTATTTGCCTCCATTGAGTTACTCTTAGATTACCAAATGACATTTTTAAACGAAGTTGTGAAAATAATTACTGTTTGCATTTGATGTCTCAGGTTGTATTGGACTTATTTGCCCTTACTATCTTTTTGGGAAAAAGTGTGGAGTTCGTTGGCTTTGAAACACCAAGGGGACCATGAATGTTATGGGCTTTTCGCATTACATTTCACTGCGTTATATGAAGTCATTTTTCTGGGTTTACCTGGATGCATTGTGGAATACTATGCATGTGGCTGCAGGCGGACATTACGGTCAAAGTACAATGAGCAGGTATATGATCACATTACTTTCTAGTTATGGGGTTACTATGGACATATTCACTTGTCTGTGGAACGTAATTGTTTTGCATTGTAATTGTGTGTGCCCTAAATCGTACGGAATAGAATGATGATCACATGGAAACAATTCCTAGAGGATAGGAAACATAAAATCCTAGAACGCCAATACGTAATTGCGCAGGCAATAGTCCACGGGCGCCATGGAGACAGAGTCCGGTGTCAAAAATTATTGTCTTGGTTTTCCTTTCTTTGTCTTTGGTTTTCTTTGTACAACTAGGTTCAGCGTATTTGTTTACCTCTGCAAAATCTAGTCGAAAGTGTTCATTATGTTAAAATATAATAAGCACTTGTTCCTAAGTACTTCTGATTTCCTTTCTTTTAATTCTGTTGATTCTTACAGTGTTAAACAAGTGGTCTTCTAAGAGCATATTGGACATGGGTAGCTAGGTTTTTTATGCATTGGTTGGTCAGTGTGGTTGAAATAATAGAGTTGACCATGGTTTGACAACTTATACCCCCATCGAATAGGTGGGCTTTGTTTGCATAGTATTCTGGTATATGAGGACTTTGTTAAGTGACAAAACACTGGTACAAGCCTTTTGGGCTAGTGCATTGGGCTTGAACGAGTTGCTTTGATAGTAGTTAAAACCTAAATAGTTGCTGTTGCTAATAGAATTAAACCCTGCTCAGTGCTAGGCTGTTAGATACTTGAGTGAATTGGTGATTAGGCATGGGCTTGGAGCTGGATGTCACGAGGGTTGGGACATTTCAACTTTCTTATTGAGCTATGTAAGATAGGTGAGTTTTTTGAGTGGTTCATGGATAGTTGTGTTTATTAACACTTAATGACTTGGATGTAAGTATTTTAGGCCAATAACTTGGACTCCAAAAAGTTGCAATAATAGTTGTCCTAATCATTATAACTGTCACGGAGTTGACTCTTGGCAGCCAAAGCTTACTATATATGTAAGCCGCGGTAGTATGTAAGCTTCTTAGTTACCACGGCCTTATTTCCCTTGTGATATATTAAATGTTTTTTTTTTTATTTTTATTTTTTGTTATTTCTCTATCATTGTGTCACTATACTCGATTAACATACTTGATATTTTTTTTTTAGTTAACTTCATCTTTTCTTCCCCGTCTTTTGTAATATAAATTCCGAACCTCACTGCACGATCCTGTACACCAATCAGTTTGTAAAATATATTGCAGACTAGTTCTATTTTCTTGCAAATTGCTATTAATGTTTAGCTACTGGGTGCATCTTGTTAATTTTATTTTTAGTGTGGTTCAAGAGATTATTCATGGGCAGGAACTTAGTTCTTCAATAGATGCAAAGATGGATGAATATAGAATCCTTTGATGGCGCTAGTTTTCCTGTTTAACATGGATTAGATTGTTATTTGCTAGCAACAATATAATGGAGGCAGTTATTCGATATAAATTGATGCGATTCAAAATAAATATAGTAACTATGGTTACACATAAAATGTATTGAATTTTGTGTGATTTTATTTTATATAGTGAAAATTATTTTTTATTCTCTTGTTTTCTTTCAGAATTTGGTACTTTAGATGCTGTCAACATGTATAACAGTAAATTCTTTTATCGTTAACATAACCGTAGGCCACAAAATAGGATGCCACCGGCATTGCCTTAATTGAAGGACTGGGATGTGGGGCAAAACATTGGGGGTTTGGGTATATGTTCTAAATATTCTTAGCTTTATGTCTCTTTCTACCTTTGACCCCTAAAAATCTTGCAGGGGTTGGTGATAGCAGATGGCTATTCATGAATATGTGCTATAAAACATGACATGCAATCCTGAAGTCACCCAAACAGGAAGAGAGAGCATGGGACTAAGGGGGATTCAACCGATGCAGGTCATAACAAAGATATTAACTAAGGAAAATGATTCGTGGTAAGAACAGGGTCCAAGTACGCTTGGAAGAGAACCATTGAGGAGATGGATTAAGATATTTGTACAAATTTTGGTTGACAAAAACTTCAACTGACTCTCACATGCATGCGGTCCCCGCATGGATTAAATAATTCCGACATGTAGACCCCAACTTCCCATTGTGAGTGTAAGTAAAAGATTTTGTACAAAAGTGTTAGTACATGTAGCATCTTTCGAGAGGAGATACCCGATAAAACAAAAGATAAAAGAAAATTTAGATGGTACTTCATATGTATTCACGGTATAATTTTCCGATTTTCGGATAATTGGGCGTCAGTGGGCCAAAATATTTTAGTGGAATAAGATCTTAGACTGGTGAGGTGGTACACTATGTTGTATCGATATGTTACTAGAGCTGGGCCACTTTCTGAAAATGTCGCATCGTGAGTCCTTTCAAATTTTTATTTTTTATTTTTTCAAATTCCTCGCGTTCTTGGACAGGGCAAACTGCAACAAATACTTTGAAAGAAGAGCTATCATCAGCGAGTGCAGTGGAAGAGAGATGGAGAAGGTGATAGCCAAACCCCTGGCAAATTGCAACAAATACTACGAAAAAGTAGAGAAATTAACCCATGTCAAGTGAAGTGGAAGAGCTATCGTCAGCGAGCGCAGTAGAATAGGGCGATTGAGAGGGAGATGGCCATATCCTAAGCATTATTATTAAATTGATGAATACACGCATGAAAGTTGAAAGCCAAATGGTCCAACATTTTATTAAGTGGGTTAATCGATGAAAAACATACTGGTCCCATTAGCATGCATGTAACGGAGCAACAAGCCCTCTTCAACGTCTACCTAAAATTGACTTACTCGTGGCAATCTTTCAACCGTCCAATGACCTATAACGCTAGTCACTACTACTTTTATTGGATCTTGGAAGTAGGTCCCACTACCCAAAGCGGCGAAAACAATGATGACCATCTTTTATTGTTGGAGAGTACACTATCCCAGAATCGTCGACTTTAGGCGAGAACAGTTATATCTCAATATTTTTTTAATAGAAAATTGCAGTTGAGTTACCAAACCTTTCGTTTATTAATAGATTTTGCCCAAATCTTTAGTTTGTGCCACCGGAGGTACCAAACCTTCAAAAAATTCACACCCGGAGTCCAAATTGGAAGTAGGTAGGTCCCACTACCCAAAGCGGCGAAAACAATGATGACCATCTTTTATTGTTGGAGAGTACACTATCCCATAATCTTCGACTTTAGGCGAGAACAGTTATATCTCAATATTTTTTTAATAGAAAATTGCAGTTGAGGTATCAAACCTTTCGTTTATTAATAGATTTTGCCCAAATCTTTAGTTTGTGCCACCGGAGGTACCAAACCTTCAAAAAATTCACATCCGGAGTCCAAATTGACAGAAACCTTTAGTTTGACTGTTATTGATCAAAAATTAAAGGTCTGACTAATTGTTGACTGATTTTTAAAGGGGCAAATGTGTAACTTTACATTTTCAAACCCATATATGTACATTGCCTTCCAAGGAACTCCCGCCTTCTAGGAGAAAGTCTTACCTTCCAAGAGTCCCATGAATTGAACTCGCGACCTCTAAACTGTCCGTCTTGAAGAATTCCGTCTTTTGCCAATTGAGATGTGCCCCGGGGGCAGTTATATTTTCTTAATTTGTATGAAAATAGAATCAAGCATATTTTTGTAAGATGGAATTTAAAAAAAAAAAAATACATTATTCAATAGTGATTTGACATCATTTCAATCACATTTTTCAATAAAATAATATTACAAGTAAATCTAAAACTTTTCCTTATTTTTTAACCACACATTTCTCATTGATTTGACATAATAATGCATTTTTTCCTAAAATGTGGCTCAAATAAGGGTTTAATATTGTAAGATAAATATAATTAAAAATTATTAAATAAACTATATATAAAATGCTTTAGTATTTTATTCTATTTTTATTATAAAGCTTCTGTTTCAATTTATTTATTTTATAAAAATGATGTTGAATTTTACGAGGTAACTTATGAAAAATTCTACACACATATATGAAATATAAACACGCATCCACGTATTTTATTTTTATTTTTTTCTTGAAAAGCTGTATATCAACTTACACATATCATATTGTACCTAAACTATGTTTTCAAATTCGTACTTCTCTTTTGAATAATGTTATTTACAGTTAACCACTGTCACAGTTACCTTACATGGCATAAATGTAGCGACGGTTCGTGATTTTATATATGAGGTAAGAAAAAATTATCACATTAATATATCAAATCACAAACCGCCATATAGGATATTACATAGGGCAACTATTCAAGTGAGCGACTATGAATAACATTACTCTTTTCTTTTAGGTCATGTATTCAACATGTCAGGTGTTTTTCTCATATTTTGAATTATTGACAACTGAGAGATATTTTAGAAACGCCCCTCGATCAATTAAATGATAAGGTATTTAATATAATACTTTGAAAATGACCTTCGCCCTTGCCCCCACCCATGCAACCAATTAGGCGGAGAATATCTCCCCTTTCGGAGTGAGGCCCGTGAGTGTTGGATTTGATAAATTTTTTTGTCATTCCTACAAAGATAGAATTAAGTCGTTAAAATTCATTGTTCCAAAACATTTTCAATTATACATTTTTTCAATAACGTGTGGAGTGAAACATTTTCATATTTATTAACATTACTTTCTCCTAGAAAATCATTTTCAGAAAATTTTATGCTAAAAAAGGGAGTCGAGATAGGGGCCTAGTGTGGCTGTTATAATAAATGCACCTATTAGAAGATCAAATCCTTCACGTTGAACGTGTAGACATTATTTGATTAGAATAGACGCGTCTGCTAGATAATCACGTGATGATTATCATATATTTACATTGAAAAGTTATGAGATTATTTGCTCGGAATTTTTATTAATCAAGACAAGTCTTATAGGTGAATGCTAGCTGGTAATAATTATAAAAATGCATTTGATTGTAAGTATTTTTCATGAAAAATGTCATTTTCATTTAAATTCTTAATTTTGTACCGTTTAATTGATATTTTTTTCATGAAAAATATTTTGTTACTTTTGGTCACATGACCATATTTTCTATTGAAGAAAAGAGGAATTTTGGAAGAATGAAATGAAATTCTCGTTCAATCAATGTAATTATCAGTACAATGGTGAGTTTAAATAGAATTGGTTAATTGATTCTAACAATCAACTAACTAACTAACTTGATAGCTATATACAACTAATTTCTAACTGAATTTGGCGACTAAATAATCTTGAGCTGAGCTGGTTGTTCTGTTGGCCGATCTACTGAGCTGTCTGATGTTCATTTATTCTAATATTTTCCTTCCCTTCAAAATAAGGAAAATATTTTCTTTGGTGGAACTATGTTTTTATTTTCCAAGTAATTCACTCTTTCTTTCTTTCTCATCTACCCCCTCTCTCCCATCTATTCACCAATAAAAGATTGAGAAATATAATACTTTCTAGATTGAAAATAAAATCAATAAAATATATTTAATTGGAAATTTCCATGCAAATAACTCTCCATATAAATTTCATGATCGCAATCACACGCACCCTAAAAGTTGGGATGAAGGTAGAAAATATTGTTGCCCATGTTTTAGCACAATTGTTCATTAAAAGCCTTTAACCAATTGCAAAGTAATTACAATTTAAGAAAAGCTTTTTCATATGCAACAATAGTAATGTGCATAATGTAACATCAAATTTGCTCTATTTTATTTAGCTTACAAATAGAAGCTTAATATTTCTCATCTAATAAATTTTTCATTGTGCTGTACAAAATTGCACAAATGTGGGCCTAAAAAAATGTTGAGAATATATGTTTGATTTGATTTTTTTTACTTTAAAATATTTTTAAGCTAGTTACATGATATTTTATGACATGATTTGTCCATTGTTAGCGTTAATGAGAGAAATTAAACTGTTGGTAAGAATATATGAAAGTCATCAATATTATTTATTTATATCTTCACACATGAAGATTTGCACTAAGCTATATTCCACATATATAACAGTATGTTTGGTACGTTAAATTAAATAAGATTCACAATTTTTTCGCTATTTGTTTTCTTGATTCCATAATTTCATTCATAGTTGTTACTTATGTACAAATAAAAGGCATAAAGCAGTACTAGATGACAAGATCAAGACTCAAGAATCCAGAAGTAAAAAACCATTTTCTTATTTTTAAGCGACTAAAACCATAAATACTGAAAAACCTATCGTTCGACCCAACTAACACCTAGAGGGGGGTGAATAGGTGTTCTTGCGGAATTAAAAACTTTTTGAATAATTCATGCAACAAGTCACACAAATTATAATTTGTCCAGATTAATTCACGTGCTTTATCTACCTATGTTGGATTACCATTGACAAGTAAATAAATTAAAGTGGTAAAAACACAATAAACATGTTGACGGAGAAACCCAACTGGGTAAAAACTCCGGGCACAAGCCAGTAGAGATTCACTATTGTAGAAACCAACTTACAGTACGCCAGACATCATTGACACTCTCAATTTTCTGACCTCCTTGCTGTATGAACTCAAGACCCTCCTGGATTTTGCAGATCCGTGCTAAATCTCAGCCTTGTATAATCTCTACCTCCTGTGAATTGCCACGCACTCCAGCTCTTCAAGCAAATCCTTCCCGGATCTTCAAACTGATGATCTTCTGGAAGTTTAATTGGAGTTGTGAGACAGGTGTTTTGGTGTTTATGGATTTGATGTTTTTACTCAACAAGCCAAGGATTGGTATGAGAACAATGAAGGATTTCTTTGGCTTTTGATCCTTGGAGAGAATGGTTTTGATTTTTGGTTGCCAAGGAATTGAAAGAATATTCAAAGTGTTTTCAATGTGAATTTTCGGGTTGATCAACACGAATGGGACGTTTGGTATATATAGAGGTTGATATATGGTAATGTGGAGCGTCAAACATTCGCGAGCGTTTAAAATTAGAATTGGCTAGGTAACACGGTCGCTCGAGCGAGGTACTGGCGAGCCTCGAGCGACGTACCTTTCGCTCGAGCGACGGCTTGGCGTGAGTCCAGCGAAGTTGGTTCTGCAATTGTGGCTCGAGCGAGGTCAGGGCGACACTCTAGCGAAATCAAAGCGTCGCGTGCATCTTCGAGGCATCCCACACAACCCTAGACCTAGCCTATAAACTTTAGTTAATTGCAACTCTAGTCCCTGAACTATTGGACATTGACAATTTGGTCTTTGACTTTACAATTTTGACAATTTGGTCCTTGGTCACAGATTTGCCAATTACATATTTTCCTAACAAACTCCCCCTTTGACATTCTATGACAAAAACGCATTTGACAGTCAAG